ATATCATATTACCCCGGTACAAATCATTAGTAACACCTCATCTGGAATATGCAGTTTACTTTTGGGCACCAATTCACAAAAAGAATATTTGGGAACTGGAGAAAGTGCAGAGAAGGGCAATCAAACTGATAAGAGGCTTGGAGGAGCTCAGCTATGAGGAAAGATTAGAGGAACTGAATTTATTCTCTCTTGAGAATTGGTGGTTTTGGGGGGATGTGATCAACATGTATAAATACATCCGTGGTTCATATAGTGAACTCGGTGTAGAGTTATTGACCCTGAGGTCATCAAAAAGGACAAGGGGGCACTCTTTACGTCTGGAGGAAAAGAGATTTAATCTCCAAATACGGAAAGGTTTCTTCACAGTAAGAGCTGTGAAAATGTGGAATAGACTCCCTCAAGAGTTGGTTCTGGCCAGCTCAGTAGATGGCTTCAAAAAGGTCTGGATTATTTCTTAGATACACATAATATAACTGGATACTAACATTTATAGGTAAAGTTGATCCAAGGAATATCCGATTGCCTCCTTGGGGATCAGGAAGGATTTTTTCCCCTGCAGGAGCAAATTTAATCATGCTTTGTTGGGGTTTTTTATTTTTGCCTTCCTCTGAATCAACTGTGGGCATAGGATTATGTTTTTTTTATGGTTGAACTAGATGGATTGTTGTCTTTTTTTCAGCCAGAATAACTATGTAACTGTGTTGCAAAACATACTGATGACATTGGTCACAGAAGGATGTTCCAGTGAGCACTGTTGGGGCCATAATCTGGAAGTGTAAAGAACAACATTTCACCATAAACCAACCAGGACCAGGTGCTCCTCACAAGATTTCTGACAGAAGAGTGAAAAAAATTATCAGAAGAGTTGTAGAAGAGCCAAAGACCACTTGTGGAGAGCTTCAGAAGGACCTGGAATTAGCAGGCACAATTGTTTCAAAGTAAAGAAGATGTAATGCACTCAACCACCATGGGCTGTATGCACGCTCACCACACAGGACTCCATTACTGAAGAAAAAGCATGTTGAAGCTCATCTAAAGTTTTCTGCATAACATTTAGACAAGCCTGTGAAATACGGGGAGAATATAGTCTGGTCAGATGAGAACAAAATTGAACTCTTTGGATGCCATAATACACACCATATTTTGTAGGTAAAATGGCACTGCACATCACCCCAATAACACCATACCAACAGTGAAGTTTCGAGGTGGTAACATTATGGTGTGGGGCTGTTTTAAAGCATAGAGTACTGGCAAATCATATCATTGAAGGAAGGATAAATAGAAAAATGTATTAAGACATTCTTGATAAAAATCTGCTGCCATCTACCATGACAATGAAGATGAAACAAGGGTGAACATTTCAGCAAGACAAAGATCCCAAACACAAAGCCAAGGAAACTCAACTGGTTTCAAAGAAATAAAATAAAGCTGCTAGAATGGCCCAATCACTTGACTTGAATCCAATAAAAAATCTAAGGTAAGAACTAAAGATCAGAGTTCATAGAAGAGACCCGTAGAACCTTCAAGATTTGAAGAATGGGACAAAATCACACCTGAGCAATGCATGCGACTAGTTTCTCTACACAGGAGTCGTCTTAAAGTTACCAACAAATGACTTTGTATGAAGTAATAAATACATTTCAGTTAGCGCTTTCAATACTTTTTCCCTGTGTCACTCCATTTTATTACACATAAGTTAATTTCTGAACTTTATTTGTTTTGTTTTTTTTGCATGTATGGATTGCATGGGTTGTTACCGAGATGTGGTAAAAATTTAACATCATAGCACCTTTTAGAAATATATTTACTGAGAAAAATGGCGATGTGTTTAATACTTATTTTACCCTCTGTATATATTATAGTTTGTAAATGCTATAACTTTCCTACAGACTAAAGAATGTACACTGATTTGGGTAATGTTCACCAAAGAAATATAGCAGAATACATTGTGATCTAAATTTATGAAGAGAGATTATTTATTTACAAAATTTTATAACAGAAACAAAGAAACTTTTCCTACAATGTTCTTTTTTTTTTTCTTTTTTTTTTTTTCATTTATTTAGCAAAAATAAAAAACCCAGTGGTGATTAAATACCACCAAAGAAAGGTCTATTTTGTGTGATAAAAATGTAATATGGGTACAGTGTTGCGTGACCGTGCAATTGTCATTTAAGGTGTAACAGCGCTGAAAATTGGCCTGGGCAGGGAGGGGGTGAAAGTGCTTGGTATTGAAGTGGTTAAAGTTGGGATCCACCCAGATGCCTGGACCAGCAGCTAGCTCAGCATCTGTTTCACTGGAAACAGCAACAAAAGCACAGATTGGTAGAGTGAAGAACATACAGTCAGGTCCATAAATATTGGGACATCGACACAATTCTAACATTTTTGGCTCTATACACCACCACAATGGATTTAAATGAAACAAACAAGATGTGCTTTAACTGCAGACTGTCAGATTAAATTTGAGGGTATTTACATCCAAATCAGGTGAACGGTGTAGGAATTACAACAGTTTGCATATGTGTCTCCCACTTGTTAAGGGACCAAAACTAATGGGACAATTGGCTTCTCAGCTGTTCCATGGCCAGGTGTGTATTATTCCCTCATTATCCCAATTACATTGAGCAGATAAAAGGTCCAGTGTTCATTTCAAATGTGCTATTTGCATTTGGAATCTTGTTGCTGTCAACTCTCAAGATGAGATCCAAAGAGCTGTCACTATCAGTGAAGCAAGCCATCATTAGGCTGAAAAAACAAAACAAACCCATCAGAGAGATAGCAAAAACATTAGGCGTGGCCAAAACAACTGTTTGGAACATTCTTAAAAAGAAGGAACGCACCAGTGAACTCAGCAACACCAAAAGACCTAGAAGACCATGGAAAACAACTGTTGTGGATGTCCGAAGAATTCTTTACCTGGTGAAGAAAACACCCTTTACAACAGTTTGCCAGATCAAGAACACTCTCCAGGAGGTAGGTATGTGTGTCAAAGTCAACAATCAAGAGAAGACTTCACCAAAGTGAATACAGAGGGTTCACCACAAGATGTAAACCGTTGGTGAGCCTCAAACAGGAAGGCCAGATTAGAGTTTGCCAAACGACATCTAAAAAAGCCTTCACAGTTCTGGAACAACATCCTATGGACAGATGAGACCAAGATCAACTTGTACCAGAGTGATGGGAAGAGAAGAGTGTGGAGAAGGAAAGGAACTGCTCATGATCCTAAGCATACCACCTCATCAGTGAAGCATGGTGGTGGTAGTGTTATGGTGTGGGCATGTATGGCTGCTAGTGGAACTGGTTCTCTTGTATTTATTGATGATGTGACTGCTGACAAAAGCAGCAGGATGAATTCTGAAGTGTTTCGGGCAATATTATCTGCTCATATTCAGCCAAATGCTTCAGGACTCATTGGACGCCACTTCACAGTGCAGATGGACAATGACCCAAAGCATACTGCAAAAGCAACCAAAGAGTTTTTTAAGGGAAAGAAGTGGAATGTTATGCAATGGCCAAGTCAATCACCTGACCTGAATCCGATTGAGCATGCATTTCACTTGCTGAAGACAAAACTGAAGGGAAAATGCCCCAAGAACAAGCAGGAACTGAAGACAGTTGCAGTAGAGGCCTGGCAGAGCATCACCAGGGATGAAACCCAGCGTCTGGTGATGTCTATGCGTTCCAGACTTCAGGCTGTAATTGACTGCAAAGGATTTGCAACCAAGTATTAAAAATTGAAATTTTATTCTGTCCCATTACTTTTGGTCCCTTAACAAGTGGGAGGCACATTTGCAAACTGTTGTAATTCCTACACTGTTCACTTGATTTGGATGTAAATACCCTCAAATTAAAGCTGACAGTCTGCAGTTAAAGCACATCTTGTTCGTTTCATTTCAATTCCATTGTGGTGGTGTATAGAGCCAAAAATGTTAGAATTGTGTCGATGTCCCAATATTTATGGACCTGACTGTATCTCATGTCTTTATTAATGTATGTTTCTCTATTTACATCCACTAGGATGTCAATAGGATATACAAAACCTGACCATGGTTGTAACCATTCTCCACTATATCCAAAACTAAAAAAAAGAAAAAAAATAGCCAAAGCTTTAACGGACGTTTTACATAAAAAATAAAGCTGGCCATACAAGGACCGATATTTGCCCTTTCAGCAGAGACTGGCTGAATTTTGATCAGTGTGTGGCCTTTCCAGCTTGACTGCTGCAGGCTGTCTAGGTGTATTTTGACAGTGGTAGGAGCCTGTTTACTGTCCTTAAGACTTTATGGGGGCTGGACTGTGGCCAGTGGGAGTAGAAAATGTCCTGGTGTCAGTGGAAGTAAACAATGCCAAATCTTTAGTGGGAGGAATAGTGCCCCATCGTTTGTGTCAGTGGAAGGAATAATGCCTCATCGTTGGTGTCAGTGGGAGGAATTGTGCCCTATGACTGGTGTCTGTGGGTTTAAGGGTGCCCATCATTGGTATCAGTGGGAGGAATAGTCCTTCATTGTTGGTGTCAGTGGGAACAATTATGCCCCCATAGTTGGTGACAGTAGGAGGAATAGTGCCACAAGGGCTAGATAAGGGCAAGCAAAAGGCTGCATCCGGCCCCCGTGCCGCAGTTTGGAGACCACTGTTCTACACTACTATCTGAGTATGGCTAACATAAGAAATTTTTATTTGGTAAGACCAGTGATGTTCTATGGCAGCTTTTCATTTATTTCTCTAGAACTAAAAAAAAAAAAGACCGCATCAAAGGCCTTGACCAGTTGAAGCCTGAATAAAGACAAAGTGACCACTAGAAGTCTGGACTGCAGGGTTTGTCAATATAGCCATTGGAAATAAAAAATTTTATTTACTTCCTGAACATGCATTTTGTGATACAACTCAATAGTAGAGCTTCCTGAATCAGTGGCACAATCTATGACACATTTCAAATGCTTTTTTCTTTCTGATCTGAAGTTCATACAGATGAGCTTTTGACAAATGTTTATCTCTGTTTTTTTTTTACAGTGAACATAGTAATCATTGTGTTGGCTGCAGTGGTCTTCCTGCTGATCTTGCACCATAATCTGCTGGGTCTGAGCGACATACTGAAGCGGCAAAATTCAGGTGATTAGTAAATAAATTCAATTCAGCAGTTTGTATGCTTCCCATATAAGCCCCTGTTCACACCAGTGCAACTTGTCATGAAATTTGACAGTTCAAAACGCATGATAAGTCACACCCAAGGATTGGCAATGCAACCATTCCAATCTCTGCGACTCCGACTTTGTCAGAGTTGCACCGATTTGAAAAGTAGTTCTTGCACTACTTTTGCCGATTTCGGGTGCGACTTGCATAGACGTCTGTGCATGTTTTCGCACAGGTGTGTTACAAGTTGCACTGACATCTGACTTTGAAATAATTGATTTCAAAGTCGTATTCAGTGTGAACTGGGGCTAAGAGCTAGACAAAATACCATAAATACCAACAGTAAATCCATCACCTTTTAATGTGTATGTGTTGGCAAAATCTAGAAAAAAAACCTATTAAACATATTATCTGATGATCGTTCAAGAAATGTAGTCAGTTCCTATCTTCCTTTATTGGGCTTATAACTCTACCTCTTCTGCACTGTGTTGTCAGCTTTTGTGAATAGGGAGTCCATGAAATACATTTGACTGTTGTCCCTAAAACCTCTGTGGAATGTGTGTAGCAGTATTTAGGGGAACATTACCATCTTGGAGTACAGGTGCATCACAAGGGAATAGTGTTTGTGTCATAAGGTATCTTATTTGTCTTTTGCCGTTAGCAATCACAGAACTGCAGGCATTCTAAATCCTGATATTTAGATGAGTTAACACATATTAACTTTTTAAGGGCTTGTTTACGCTTGCAGTGCTTACTGAAGACTAATCCATGGTGGATCGCTGTTCAGAGGGAGTTTGGTTGTTTTAACCGCTAAAAACCTTCACCATCTCACTGCAACTGTACATTGCACGCAGTTGCAGGAAGGGCCCACTCAGTACACTGGGATGTGTCCGGCAGGCTGTAGTGCCAACTGAACATGAAAGGGGTCATTTTTGCCAAGCCATGTGTACACCCCCATTCACTGCTTTTGCAGCTTAAGAGTGGATGGTTGAGTAAAAAGGTAGCTTAACTGTGCGTTTTTACTGTCCTCTAACCACAAGTGTAAAAGAGGTCTAATAATGCCAGAGAGTGCAACAGGGCATCTATACTTTGGAGAAAGAGGAGACCATGCAGATTAAATGGTGGTGGCAAGCATTTGTATATTATAGCATATTCCCTCTTTCAACAGTCCTTCAGTATGACAAATCTGATATAATCAAATACAAAATTACAAATCAGAAACCATCTGGTCAAACACTTTACTGTGCTCTTGAATGAGGAATTTTATTTTCATCTGATCACTCAAACAAACACTTTTATGTTAAAAAAACAGTCCATAATACAGATCAATATTTTTGATCAATATTTTCATTCAAACACAAATATGGAACAATAAAGTGTAGCACTTTTATCAATGAAATTAGTGAAACAATTAGTCACAAATAAGCCTGCATCTCCTCCAGCAAAGTCTCTGTGACAGGTTAACAGACCTGTGCATCTGTAATCTTGGGCAGCCAAGTGCAATAGCGTGCAAAGTTCTAAGACAGATTTATTACTGAAAATAAGACAGATTTCCACTCTGAACAGATGATTAGAAAGTGGTCAGGGTCAGGTGTCAGTCAGGCCACTAGTCCTACTTCAGAGCAGGAAATTATGACTCGGGCTGTAACCTTGTAATAAATTTGTCTCGGAATGCATTGCTTTGTCTTGTGATAGGATTGATAAATGTGCCCTAGTGTGTTATGCTTATTTGCTCTGGGTGTCATTCAACCTGGAAATGATGCTGGAGCATCGAGGAGGACTCGGAGGGCACTGGAACATAGGGTGAATACTGCTTTGCCTTTTTTTTTTTTTTTCTTTTTTTATTGCTGAATGAGAGGGGACAATAATAAACTGTAATTGAGCTTAATTAATGCTGTAAAAACCCATAAAAATTAAGGTGACAGGTCGAAGGCTCATTATACATTTAGACGTCAACAAACAGTCTTAAACCGTGAACTCTCTAAATAAAGACTGTTTTTTTCCTGTCAATAGACTCTTCCACTGATGACTACAGGTGGGGTCTGCTTTGGCATGTTGTGCATGTACATCCAACATACAGTATAAGCTTGCAAAGTCTGTGGCTGATTTTGGAATTCTCATCGACATTTAATGTTAACAAATTCTTTGTTACTGCCTTTGGTCTAACATGATTTAATAATACTAAATTTATTCCTGTTTCATAGATTCTAGTCCTGTGGGATTTCAGCGTATTGATTTCTTACCAGAAGCTCCTGAAAGTCTATCTGAAGATAAGAGTGCCATGGATATTACTGTGGTCATCACTGCTGTAGAAAGTAGACTTGGAGGAGTCGTCACTACAATAAATAGTATATTCAGTAATACAAAGTCCAGTGTCACATTCTACATTGTTGCAATGAATGATACCAAGGAGCATTTAAGGTAGTATTCTTTTTCAAGTGACATGAAACCAGGCAATTAAATGTGTAATTGTGAATGTGTTATTGCAAATTCCATGAGTATGCTGAAAAGTAGAAAATTAGATTGTCGCAGTCCTTCAGTAAATCCTTCCCTGTGCCAGCCTCTAAAAATGGAACAACAAAAAGCACTATATGAATGGAGGAGGTGAACCTTTCATTCTTCCACATGTCTTCCATTCATAGAGTGCTTATCATTGCAGGAACTGATTTTACAGCTTTTATGAATGGAGCAGAAAGGGGAGGGGGGGTGTGAAAAGAGCAGGCATAGTTGGCACTTCTGATGAGTGCCTGTGACAGGTGGAGCACCTTATATTAACCCCCACAGCACTGGAAGATCACTGCTGCAGGGGGATAGCGGGGGCAAAGGAATTAAAATTTCAAAGGAACAGAGTATCCACCAGAACATAGGACACTCGCTATTCATGCAGGTACCATTTCCAGTACCGATTTAAAATAAATCACTAAACTTTAGTTTGACGTCCTCCTTATACAAATCAGCTCCCACAACAAATCAGACAACCAGAATAATTATTTGTTGGTGTATCAGTCATGGTTTGTGTGCTAAGGTCATGGCAGGTTATATGCAAGTTCAGTAATCTCACCATTTGTATAAATGAAAGACACCAGGGGGTAATTTTGCCTGCATAAACCTAAAACTGAAAAGCCAGCTTTTGCTGAACTGATCCTTTTCCAATCACTAAAGCTTGTTTTTATTTTTTCTCACAGGACATGGCTTGGTGAAACTAAACTAAAAAATGTTAAATATAACATTTTGGAATTCAATCCCCAGGTGCTTGATGGGAAAGTTCGAGCTGAGGCTAGTGCGAAACCTGTAAGTAAATGATGTCATTACTTCAAAACTAATAGGTTTAAAATGCTTTGTAAAGTTGGTTTTACATTTTAGTTATCTTGCTTATCTTTCTTCAGCTAACATTTGCTAGATACTACCTCCCTGATTTGGTCCCTGGAGTAGAGAAGATCATATATCTAGATGATGATATCATTGTGCAAGGTATTCTAACTTTTTTACTACATTTTTTTTGGTACATAGGTTTATACATTTTGGCACTTGCAGTTACCATAGTGCTAATGGACTCTCCTGCCTATGTTGCTTCCACCTGCTGCTATGTTCTATACTACTACCTGTTGTAATGTTTAGAGTGAGGTGTTAAATGGCATGGTCGCACTTTTCAATAGTGCAGGCATCATCTGGCACAAGGATTTTTGCAATGGCAGCAGAACATGATGGAAGTCACAAAGACTCCTAAAGCTGGCCATACACCTAGATGCTTTTTTAGATTTACCAGAACTATCTTCCTAAAAGATCCATTACATTTTGTTTCCAATCCGGAAGAACCTTGCAGTACATTATTTTTTTTGGTAGATCTAAAGAAGATTGTACAACTTAATTATTCATTCTGCTGACAATACACATTATAATGATACTGCAAAGCAGACCATACACCTTACAATCTAATTGCATAATTCTCTTTGGATCTACTAACTAGTATGTAGTGCAGAGGCTTGGCTGATTGGATACAAATTGAATAGATTGTTTAGATAAATCACGAAATGGCATAGTTTTTGGTAAATTCAAAGGAAATTGTACAGTCAGATTGTAATATGAATAAATGGCTGTAGATTTTCCCCACAAATATTTAATATGAAAGCCTACCTAAACAGTCAGTTTGAAGTGGTCAGGTAAGCGCCCGCACTACATAGCTGTTGGTAAATCTGAAGGAGACTATACGATCGGAATTTTAGCATACAGAATGCGGCCAGCATTATTCTTGTATGAAACAGTCATCTAATATGGTATTCTTCCTAGGCACAGGGAAAAATGAGAGGGTATGCAGGGTGGCATGGAGGAGCCTGCCCATGGCCCAAGGAACAAAAATGTCCATGTTGTTTTGATGCAACCATTGGTTTGAGTCTCCATATGTGACGTATTGTCATGATGGAGGTAGAAAGTGTCTCTGTATGAATGGGTTTGTTTATCTCATATTTCCCCTGTGTCAGTTGTGCTTTTATTTAGTTTTGGTAAATCTGTTATCACTAGGTATAATTAACTAATTATAAACATTTTATACTCAGGTGATATTCTGGAACTTTACAAGACTCCAATAAAATTTGGACATGCAGCTGCGTTTTCAGAGGATTGTGATTCAGTTACATCAAAATATCTTGTCAGAGGCGCTGGTAATCAGGTAATTCTATTTCCTGGTGTGGGTTCCAGCTGCATGCAGCTTTTGAATTCGTGTTTTTTGTGCACTGCAATAGTTGAAAGTGATATAGTACAAATAATAATAATGTGCAACATTATTTTATCATTCTAAGAGCCCATTTAGCAAATATGTACGATAATGGTGCTCCTAATTATTCACAGAAAAAAACTTATTGCAGAATAAACAGTGTAAAAAGCCTTAATTGGTAATGATGATACTGAAAAAAGAGTCCAAGTAAAAGAAATCCATATGTGTGGAAAATTAGCTAAAGTTCCAATAAACAGTATGCTGTTCCATGGAGAAGGACAAAGAGTTCGTTAACAGAATCTTGCAGGTCCTCACACAGGATCAGGGAAGATCCAACTGACACAAGAGATAGAAGAAAGCAAGGAACAGAGATGTGTCAATAAAACGTATCTTTATTAAAACAACAAAAAAGCTTTCCATTTAGATGTTAATTTTGAAGTGTGATGCATGTAACTAGTCTCCATGCACACTGGCTTAAAAAATGCTGGTGCTCTTGGCAGAAATAAATCACATTTAGGAGTGTTTTTAGCATTTTTTTTTTCTGCAAAAAAATGCTCTCAAAAATGCAAAACAGAAGGGTGTTTTCTGTCTCTAAATGCTGAACTTAAAAACAAAATTTCCTCTAGACCAGTGTTTCTCAACCTCTTTTCAGTCAAGGCACCGTTTAAAATTCTGCACAATTTTGAGGCACCCCATTCTAAAACGTAAAAAAAACTAAACTAATAGCTCTACATATCACGGCAACATACAAAGGTGATTTATTCTTTCAAAGCAAATACACCTTTGCACACTGTTACTGACTTATTTCAATGTTTCTACTCTCCTTTAGTTTCTCTCCCTCATTCAGTTAATGTGACCCCAGTTCTGATGAAGAAGGGCAGGGACAAACAAGGATGCTGTGCAGGTGCCTGAAGTCCTCCTTATCAATTGATGACATCATTGGTTCTAGGTGGCTAGAAGGTTGTAATGGTGCACAATGAAAACCTGTGGCTTTGTGTAAATAATAGGCAAGCTTGGTCCACCCACTGGCTTGTATACAATATTTACGCATTTTACCAAGGCACCCCTGGAGAAACCTGAAGGGCACCCTGGTTGAAAAAGACTGCTCTAAACTACCTAATGTGCATATACACATAGGATAAACTAAGTTGCTTCTACAGGTAAAAAGCTAAACTCCTCTGGGAGCAGTGCTTTTTAAGCCAGTGTACATTGAGCCTCAAAAGCAGGAATCATCCAAGTCACACAATCCACAGTTTGACAATCCCTTAGGGGTGGATCAAAAGCCTGCACTGGGCTGCAAGCAAGAATCTGAAGTCACACAGCACATAGGGTGTGCACGGAGTAACTCGTATTTGTTGAGAAAAACGCATTCCCCTCTGGGTGATTATTGTACATTGCAAGAATTTTAACAAAACTTTGTAGCAAATTCCTACCTGCTGTATGTTCAGCTTGGAATACTGATTCCTGAGTGGAATTGTCTGTGGAGATTCTAATCAGCTGATGCACTTGCAGCATTCTAATGAGGAAAGTTGCAGTGCCTGCATCCCTTTTAGAAGTACTCTTAAGAGTATGTCACCTAAAAAAATTTTTTGTTGTTGCAGATGACTTGTATCTTAGTGCAGACTTCTGGGAAAATCAGCGAGACAATCACATAAGCAGGAAATGACATATCTGGGGGCATTCCATACGCCAATGGTGTACTGAATGCCTACAGGTTGCCATACTGCAGCACTGCTGATTAAAAAGAAAAGGTAATTTTAATATTTAAATTACAATGTGGCTCCGTGTGTGTGTTTTATTATTTATATTTTTATTGAGATTTTTGAACAAGGAAAACTAACAGCACAGGCAGTTAGTTAAGACATATAGGAGGTGATTGTAACATTGTGAAACAATAAGAAATATCCAGAAAAGAGCAATAAAGAACAGTCTACCAGACGACATGAATCAGACGAGTCTAAGAACCTTATTGGAACTAAGGGCAGGGAAAAAGACAAAGAAAGAGATGAGTGGACTTTTCGATGAAAACGTTGGTTACAGATACAGTGGGGCAAAAAAGTATTTAGTCAGCCACCAATTGTGCAAGTTCTCCCACTTAAAAAGATGAGAGAGGCCTGTAATTGGCATCATAGGTAGACCTCAACTATGAGAGACAAAATGAGAAAAAAAATCCAGACAATCACATTGGCTGATTTGGAAAGAATTTATTTGCAAATTATGGTGGAAAATAAGTATTTGGTCACCTACAAACAAGCAAGATTTCTGGCTCTCACAGACCTGTACCTTCTTCTTTAAGAGGCTCCTCTGTCCTGCACTCATTACCTGTATCAATGGCACCTGTTTGAACTTGTTATCAGTATAAAAGACACCTGTCCACAACCTCAAACAGTCACATTCCAAACTCCACTATGGTGAAGACCAAAGAGCTGTCGAAGGACACCAGAAACAAAATTGTAAACCTGAAAAACAAAAGATAAGTGAGCGCTTATGTGATACTGTATAATAAGCAGCGGCTGTACACCAGAAAAGGCACCGTATCAAACCTTCAATAGCATATATGTGAAAAGGGAGGTGCAGCGCTGTATAACTAAACAAATAATGAATGATTACACAATAGTAAACAGTGACTGTAAGTTAATAATGCCACTAGATGGTGGCTATAAGGTGAAGAGAGTGAAAACAGTCCAATGAAGGGGTGCTCTTAAGATCCGGGGTGATCTTCAGACGTCCAATGTACAGGACCATCAGGTGATAAAATATAAAGACTGCGCACTCACCAGATACGCAATCTTTATGCGCATTTGTATGAAAATATCACTAGACCTCCTGTGTCATCATCCTGGTCTGGTCAGATCTGGTCAGCATATCCCTCATGGCCTGGTACCTGGATGGATGCAGCTGTTCTGTAGATTTGGCCGGTTCCCACCAGAACTCAAATAAATAGAAAGGGCCACATAGTGTAATATCCTCAGGTATCTTTATTGGAGGCACAGGATAGCAGAAAATCCAACATACAAAAAAATACTGACCCAGGTATGAATCAAAGATGGCCGCCGGGGCCCCTCGTGGCGCCGGCGGTGAAGCGTCCAACCTGCTGTAGCTATCCCTGACGCGTTTCGAGCGAAGGCTCGTAGTCATAGGGGTGCAGCTTACAGTGGTGGACGCAAATGACAGTAGTTAAATACGGACATTGGCGCATGCGCAGTACGTCATGCGCCATTTTCCCTACGCTGGATGTCCGCGCTACGGGCGCCATTTTGTTGTAGCCCGACCCGATGGCGCATGCGCAAACGCCAATCGTCAGGTGCACTGGGACAACCAGCAAAACGAATGCTATGAACACCAAGGCTGGTTCGATGTAATGCTATGAGCACCAGGGATAAATCAATCCATAAATTATGGGTCACCTGTGCAGGGTAAAACCCAAGTGATATGGCTATGGGCAAAAACCAGAATGGATCTTTAATTAATAGATCCAGAATCCTATTATATAGCCCATGTTTATCATAGCCCAAATAGTGTGAATATATAAGACCTATATAGTGTGAATATATATATATTTCACATATATACAAAATTGTAGACCTGCACCAGGCTGGGAAGACTGAATCTGCAATAGGCAAGCAGCTTGGTGTGAACAAATCAACTGTGGGAGCAATAATTAGAAAATGGAAGCCATACAAGACCACTGTTAATTTCCCTCGATCTGGGGCTCCACGCAAGATCTCACCCCGTGAGGTCAAAATGATCACAGGAACGGTGAGCAAAGTCCCAGGACCACACGGGGGTCCTAGTCAATGACCTGCAGAGAGCTGGGACCAACGTAACAAAGGCTACCATCAGTAACACACTACGCGGCCAGGGACTCAGATCCTGCAGTGCCAGATGTGTCCCCCTACTTAAGCCAGTAGATGTCCGGGCCCGTCTGAAGTTTGCTAGAGAGCATTTGGATGATCCAGAAGAGGATTGGGAGAATGTCATAAGGTCAGATGAAACCAAAATAGAACTGTTTGGTAGAAACACAACTTGTTGTGTTTGGAGGAGAGAGAATGCTGAGTTGCATCCAAAGAACACCATACCTACTGTGAAGCATGGGGGTGGCAACATCATGCTTTGGCGCTGTTTCTCCGCAAAGGGACCAGGACGATTGATCCATGTACAGGACAGAATGAATTGGGACATGTATCGCAAGATTTTGAGTGCAAACCTCCTTCCATCAGCAAGGGCATTGAAGATGAAACGTGGCTGGGTCTTCCAACATGACAATGATCCCAAACATACCGCCCGGGCAACGAAGGAGTGGCTTTGTGAGAAACATTTCAAGGTCCTGGAGTGGCCTAGCCAGTCTCCAGATCTCAACCCCATAGAAAACCTTTGGAGGGAGTTGAAAGTCTGTGCTGCCCAGCGACAGCCCCAAAACATCACTGCTCTAGAGGAGATCTGCATGGAGGAATGGGCCAACATGCCAGCAACAGTGTGTGCCAATCTTGTGAAGACTTACAGGAAACGTTTGACTTCTATCATTGCCAGCAAAGGATATATAACAAAGTATTGAGATTAACTTTTGATATTGACCAAATACTTATTTTCCACCATAATTTGCAAATAAATTCTTTCCAAATCAGCCAATGTGATTGTCTGGATTTTTTTTCTCATTTTGTCTCTCATAGTTGAGGTCTACCTATGATGCCAATTACAGGCCTCTCTCATCTTTTTAAGTGGGAGAACTTGCATAATTGGTGGCTGACTAAATACTTTTTTGCCCCACTGTATAATGTCGTAGGAAAGCAACAGTTAGCTGCTGAAATCAGGATGTCAGAGTGGGCAAATGAAAGGTAGAAAGATCCCATGGTTCCCAAACAGCTTCAAATAGAGGGATAAGGTTATCATGTAGAGCAGTCAAATATTCCATTCTTCTAACCTCACCAATGATTTTTATCAGTTCCAACTGGGAG